CGTATGACACGGTCGCGTAGTCCGAGTCATACACTTGCGTAATCTTGAGCCTTAAGGCAATTAAAGCCCTGAAGAAGACGAACTCCCGTTCATAATAAACTCCCGTTAATAACCAAAAGATTAAAAAGAAATAAACATATATAACACACACTATTTACATTATTCGAACTATTGTCATCTTTATTGATATATTTATCACAACGTTTTGGCCGTTGTATGCTCCGGCCTTCTTCAGGTGGTTGGAATGTCGAACTGAACCCTTTATTTCGCTTGATGGGGTAGACTGTTCTAGTTCCACGTGCCATGTCTAATAGATGTCAGTTATCTCCTGTTAATTCACCCCTCCAAGTTCTCCACTACCTTAACCAGGTATTGAACTCACACTGTCACTGGATCTAACTAATGCCTTTATCGACTGTGCCATGTGTTCTTAAGGATATTCCAACCACCTGAAGAAGTCCGGGGCGTACAACGGCCGAAACGTTGTGATAAATATTGCAACAAAGATGAGGACAATAGTCCGAATAATGTAAATAGGGTACATAATACCTCATCTCAGAAATATAGACAGATAGATATAACACAGTTACACCAAATTTTGTATTGGAGAAAAGGAAATTGAACATAGAATATGTTTCGTCAGAGGTAGTTTCGTCTAACACCCTAAATTTCGACAAAACCAAAATATCTACCTGAAAACTAGTCATATTCTTAAACAGCCACATGTGATATAGACTTTCAATATGTCATACATGGTGCCAAACCTGTTCAGAAATATCTAAACTGTCAGCTTTCTAAAATCAATTGTTAAAATGGCTTTGGGTAAGTGAAGCCTGGGGGTTTTGGCATAGACCATCCATCTTTCAACACTGTGGACTGGTGCTACAGATTCACAAAGAACTGTACCAAATAGAAGAAATCCCATCACTTGAGGACTGCCAAGAACAGCAACAACTAAAATGAATATCACATATATAACTCGAAAAGAAAATAATGACATAATCAAGATGTTGATATTCCACAGTACTTTAAATAAAAAGTTAGGAGGGAAATCTTCATCAATACTGGAATGGCCGATAAAAGCCAATGACCTTGGAAAGCTATTTTATAAATTTCAATTGACACTAGTAGTGGCTGCTCGGTCAATGAATGTCAAATCTTTCCTAGTAGGATGATATTACCATTACTATTACACGCTTGATAAGAAAGTATGGTTGAATAGCTAACCCATCTCTTTTACTCTACGATTTAATCAGAAAGATCGTAGGAAAAAATGGATTCATAACATTACTAATGGCATTAGAACTAAATATTAACAGCCTCAGATGGTATTTGAACTGGAATTCTCGATTCCGTTACGCCATTTTGTATCTACAAGCTGCTAACTAGAGCAGAAAATAAAGTTATAAACGACAAGCTATAACAAAAAATCCAATAACAAACTAAAATCACATCCAGTTATTTTGACAGGGAATTTAAGTTCACGATGTCGTCTATTTAATTCTTCAATTATGATTCTTTCATGGTAACTTATGTACTTCGATCCTCTTTCCCTATTATTAAAATTGTTTAGAAAAATCCTCTATTTTCCAAACACATATTCAAATTTGTTCCCATTTTTCATAGCCACAATTTCCAAAAAGATTGGATGTCCGGGTAGGTAACGGATACCGGCATGGAAATTGAATCTGAGTCTAAATTCCGGGTTAATCGATAGCGTTTATAAATATCCTTGGAAAAGGTATACACGAGTCTCTTCTCCCGCTAGCTTGGGGTTAAATAGTCAGATAGACAAGTTTCTCTAGTTTTTGTTAGCAATGATTATTAGAAAAGGACATATCTAAAATTTAAAATGTGGCGAAAGCAAATGGAAACCAATTCTCTATATTTTTCCAAGAATATAAGTTTTATTCAAATTTACACCACAACCCCACACCGCTGAGAGTTCTGTCCTCCATGACTTCTAAATGCGTATGTGTCTAGACAGCGTCACATAATCTGTGTCCTAAGCTAAATTCAGAGTTCTCTTGACAACGCATAGCTAAAAAAAGAAGAGGGTTTTGAAGAGATGTGATCGCCTGTTATGTAATGGATGGCTTGGGAAAAATTTCAGCGCAAATTTATATTAGGTTATTTTTAAAAAAAAAAAAGGAAAACTTAATTTAACAATTTATTATGACTATCGCCAAACAACAGACGGTTTTATGTGACAAAGCTTTTAAAATTCGACCCCTCAGTGAGAAAAGTCAACACGGGTCAGGGACACACCAGGCTTTCACGAGTGAATACAATCGACCAGTGCTAGTTATAATTAGGTCGAGAATCTGAAAAATCTGAAAAGATGAAAATCCGCTAAATAAATAAATGACGAAGGACTTCCGATTCGAGATGGTTCGGGAGAAATCTGGTCCTTTCTACGTGATTCTAGAAGCGTCTCAGGACGGAACCATAAGTGTTCGACCACAGAAAAGGCGAAATATCATAAGACGAGTTTTGGTATGAATTGGCGGACGGCAGAGTTTGCTGTAGAGTTTCGTGGAGACAATTAAACTAGCAGGGGGAAGATTGTAAGCGAAACGTACGAACTGAGACTTGGGTCGGCCGGTTGCGAAAGGAATTAAGATGTCACCCATCTAGAGAGCAGTTTAATGACCTGCAACCAGGACTGTCATTTGTCCTCTCTCTCTCTCTCTCTCTCTCTCTCTCTCTCTCTCTCTCTCTCTCTCTCTCTCCAATTCACACGAGCGGAAAAATAAACTTGGAAGAAATCAATCTAGACCTTCAACAAATTTGCGTTCCCATTTTTTATATATATATATAAGATGCAGTAACGCAATTTAGTTCCGTCGTAAGAGACCCCATCACACGTCATGTTTTAGGGCAATGAGTGGCACTGTAAAATGACTTCTGAGAGATTATGGCATTTAAAACAAAAGTAAAAAGAAGGTAACAATTGTTTGATAGTCGCTAAGTGCATTCAAGAAGTATACAAACTATTGAGATACAAAACTCGAAAGCCATTCCAACACTAATCCTGAATTTGGTTGTCCATTCGATAAGAGAATACCAAGTCTTGAAAACTTATAGCCGTAAATTCAAAAGCAACAAATAGATTTATAACTTCATCGTTGATTATCTATAGATGAAGTCACTTCACGGTGCAATGCGCAATGCGTTCGCCAGTTGGAGAGTAAGGATTGGCTTAATTTCTTCCAAGCTCCGAAGCGGTCACTCCTTTATATCTAGTTTATTTTCGCTATGACCACCGTCTTCGAACTACCTTTTATTACTCAAAACAATTCTAGCAATTCATAATTCCTCGAGGCTATATATGTCCCAGCTCATTTGTAAACATCGACTTTAAACTGGAAAATAAAACTTTTAAATTGAATCTTCTTTTTTATATCGAATGATTGCAGTTAATAGGAATATACAGAACATGTCTTAGAATGGAGATTCCTATGGAGAAAATTTAAAGATCTATGTGGAAAAGATATCAGAATATTCCAAAATTTATACTGGGAGCAACCACTTTCAAACGGATAGAAAATAAATTGAGCAGCTATAAAAAAAAAAATAGAAAAAGGGTTGAGACAAAGATGTGCCTTCTCACCAGATT